AATTACGGTCCCCCCCCCCCCCAGCCCCTTTACCGTCAAGGATCACATACCCATTAATGCCTCCTCCCAAGTGACCCTAGGACTACTCACCAAACTCCACGACAGATTGGCTGGCTCTCGCTCCGGCTCCATTCACCACGTTGCCACAAGTAGATTTCCGTTACAATCTCTGTCAACATTTTTTATCTACAAGTTTTACAGCAGCCACCCGTGTACTCGCTATCCTATGTAAATAACATTCCTGGACTAATAAAAGTTGGCAAAGAATATTAAAAATCCGACAGATTCATTCATTGAAATTGGATTAAAATAGTGATACGAAATGTACGCGGACTTGTGGCCCAGGTTACCCATTTCAAATCAACGCCTGTTTACAAATCTCCATTCGTGGATTTCCCCGAAGCTCCGCCCACTTAAAAAATATGCTAGCATTGTCGGCGTGGCTATTGCCTAGAGATGTACGAAGGGCGTATGCCATGCCAGTCTTGACCAACCTCCTCGCTCAAGTGATCCCTGCCTCTTACCCCTCCTCCTCTGAAGTATCCCTTGCCCCTATTACCTCCTCCTTAAGCGATATTGCATCAACCTCCAATACAAGTAAACACCTCCTCTACCCATTATCCCATAAGTGACACCTCCTCTACCCCTTTCCCTAAGTGGAACACGGCTCCTCTACCCCCTTCCCTACAGAGTGACACCTCCTCTACCCCTTCTTCCAAGGAACACCTCCCCAATCCATAAGGACGCCTCTGCTACCCCATCCCATAAGATGACAACCTCTCTACCCATTCTAGATAAGAATACTCCTCATTCCCTCATCCATATGTACCTCTCATCTACCTCTTCTCAAACGCATTACCCCTCCCCTTCCTATTACTTTAAAGCACCTACCTCCCACGTGCTCCGCCCGCGCTCCCATCCCTGTCAGTTCAGGAAGCCGATCATGGCCAACGCAGTGGATTGGTGACAGTTGGATACGGTCAAACAGCCCATGCACTTCAGGCAGATGCACACCAAAGCTTACTCGCCTACTTGACCTTCGCCGCACTTAGCGGCAATCCTCGAGCGACTCAGCTAGAGATGGCAGCAGTGGGGGAAACAACACGAAACATCAATATAACCTGCACAGACACGTATCGGCGGCGGCAACAGGTTGCGAGGCCTGCCTCGCTTCTGGCGCACCTGCCCACACGCACGAGATCACGACAAACTGTTAACTTGGCGCGCTGCCTGCAGACATGCGACTGCAAATATTTCACGGAGCGCGTAAGGCTTCCCAGTGGCGAATGTGGGGCGAAAACAGGGGCGCACCGTGTTAACTAGCTCACTGGAGACGTTAGAACAATCAAGTCATCGCTGCAGCGGAGTGCGGACTTCACGCAGCAAGCGCCCACATTCTGTGGGGCCGGTAGTGCTGCTTATCTAATGCAATATGCAGAGGGTTGTGACACGCTCTCCTCCCGACGCCTCCGCCCCACTCAGCTACCGCTAACATCAATTGCCGCCGGTCATATAAGGCTGCGTTGCTGACGTAGTATCACAGCAAGTTAGTCAATCGGGTGAGCCCTCCCTGCAGCAAGACAATGCCCAAGGCGAAAACATTTTTCACATGTCTTATCTTATCTCTGTTCCTTTGCTCGCCGCACCACTGCTGTCACATCACCTACACAAGAACAACAAATCACCTCTCATAAACTCTCGCCCTAGAAAAAAAAAGGGGCACAGACCGACAGGCCACTCACTTCTATGTATGTGTTTGTTAAAAAATGTGGGGGGGGGTGTCTCCTGCCCCCTGGATCTGTCACTTGTTTGCATGAAATAGAAAGTACAGTGAAACTTGCATAAAAGCCAAGACACACTGCAGCGACAGCGACCGACCGTAACGACAAAGTTCACCCAGACCTCACCACAGTGCCAGTGCCAGTGGCACACATGAACAAACGGCAAAAAACTCCTGCTGCTGCTTTTAAATAAATTGCTGTAAAAACGCTCTATGTATAACGATAATATAATAAAGTAATATATACGCAGCATATTATACGAACGTCTGACGGCTGACTGTAGCCTTGCACGTTTTGGTTAGATGGGTTCGCGGCCCCACTGTTTCTGACAGGCGGTGCGAGTTTAGCGCTGGGGACCAGTCTACTTCCTGGCTAGCATTGGTTTATAATTTTATGACGTAATGGCGATGCCACGTGCCGATGGAAATGGCTGTGATTGGCCATTTGTAAATTGTCGCCGGCGAAAGTCGCTGGGAAATAGAAACGTTTCTAAATATTTTTGTCGTCGAGGTTGTCGCCGGTCGTCGTCGCGTCAGTGTGCAATGGCTCATAGGAAACAATAGTTTCTAATTTTCTGAAAAGTCGTTTGTCGTTACGGTCGGTCGTTGTCGCTGCAGTGTGTCTTGGCCTTAAGTCGACACTTTTGGGACCAGGATATTTGTGTCGACTTAGGAAAACGACGACTTACGTGCAAGTCATCATTTTGTCGATTAGGAATCGCAACAGTGCATCGTAGACATTCGAAAGTGTATAGTCAGCCGAAAACACAGAGACACGAGTCATACGAAATGTGTCAAGGTAACGGATCCATTTGTGTTTTACGAGAATGACACGGCTTGTTGAACCAAATGAGAGAAGGCTAGTACCTTCGAAGTGGTAGAAGAAGAGAAAGAAGTGGTAGAAAAAGCGCAAAGGGACGAAGTGACAGCAGATTCAAACCAAAGGGACAAGAATCTTAATCGAGCCATTGAAAACGTTACAAGATTAGGCCGTGTATCTAGAAAACCTAGGAGTTTTAGTTTTAAATTCTTGTAAACTGCATGTTACAATATGTACAGTTGTGTACTATCAAGAGTACATAATCTCTATTATGTACTCTTGGTACTATGTATGTAGTGGCCTCGAGCCGGCCTCGACCCGACTTCTCGAGTCCGGACGGCTCGAGTCTGAGTCCGAGTCCGAGTCATTGCACTCCAAGGCCTAGACCAAGACTGAGACCAAGGAAAACGGTCTCGAGGCCGGTCTTGAGGCCAAGACCGACCTCGAGACCTACAACCCTGACCAGGGCTGGGGGAAGCCAGGGCTGGGGGAGACCAGGGCTGGGGGAAGCCAGGGCTGGGGGAAGCCAGGGCTGGGGAAGGCCAGGGCTGGGGGAAGCCAGGGCTGGGGGAGGCCAGGGCTGGGGGAAGCCAGGGCTGGGAAAGCCAGGGCCAGCGGTGGGGCAAAGGTGGAGCAGGGCGGGGTAGGTGATGCCACATACAAACCTCACCACGCTGCCCATACTGGGCCTGGGCTTCCCCACCTAGCAACGCCTTAGACACCTAGCATGGTTAGAACCGCAAATTTCTGCAGCGTGCGTGCGACGGCGCACTTACGTCACGACCCAACAGCAGCTCCATGCACGCAACGGCACGCCCAGCACGCATGCCCGCACCACCGTACATACAGACACACACGACACACAACACACACACACCACCCGGCGCGCGCGCGGCATGCATCAACACCCCAGCACCGCCACGGCCATGCACAGCCACCTGCACGACCAGCACCACGCACCAGCACAGCACCACACGCAGCACGAACAGCAGACACACGCGCTCCTGCAACACACACCAGACACACGCACACGTACAAAACCACACGGCACGACCCACAAACATGCACGCACACACCACAGCCCACACAATACACAACACCACCAACCCAACACATGACCGCGCACGCGACAGCAACGCACCGCACGGCAAACGCACCCGCACGCACGCGACCGCCAACACAACACACCGCCCCCGCAACACACCCACGCACCCCCCAACACACGCCCACAACGACACACACACCGCCCCTCTCACACACGCGACGCACGCACGCACTACCCACACCCACAGCAACAATTCTGTGATTTCCTCTCCGCGCAGACATGAATGGCCGCATGTGTTGGCATGACATCCGCCGGGCCAGGCGTCGCACCGTAGGTATAGGCGCAGTATAGCCAGCAGTAGAAGAATCTCGCACTACCGTGTCATCACGCCGACGCGGCCGCTGTACGTCCCGAATCAATAGCATCCACGCCTCACACCACGAATCACTGCCTCATCGCATTACAATAGCCTCCTCCCAGTAGGCCAGGCATACCAGGCCTGGCAGCCAGCGAGAGAGAGAGAAACAAGCCTCTCACATGCGTCAACCGAAGCCTCGGCGAATGACGGCCAGGCAAGCTACCGTGAAACGCATTTATGTAGTGAAACCTAGTCGCAGCGCTCCACACAGCGGCACCGATCGCACACACGCGCCGCCGCACAAACGCGGCTCGGCACACCCGACGCTTCGCACTACGTGCGGCTCACACACTGACGCCGCTGTCACATCGCCCGGAACGCCGCACGCGCGCTCATACACGCCCGCGCCGAACACGCACGCCGCCGCCGCGCTCCCACACAGCCCCGCGGCGTCAACACGCACGCTCCACCTTCGCGCCGCCCACACATCCGCACGCTCACACACCCCGCCACGCTCAACCACGCACGGCGCGGCTCCACAGACGCACGCGC